TGTCTCAAAAATAAAAAAGCCAATGTCTCCCCATTACTTAACTGAAGACTGCAGCAGCATTTGCCACAAAAATGTATAGAATGCCTTGTGCTAGCCAGATGTGACTTAAGGCTCTTGCTCTATTCTGTTTTAATTAGGTTAGAGGTGGTAATAGATTCTGGTTAAGGTGGAGGATGGGAGAGTTTAACTTTAAACAAGAAGATACAAAACGGACATGTATTAAGTACTTTTCACTTTATAAGACTGTGGAGAGAGAGGCTGCGCTCAGATGGCAAATCTGTATTCCTCCATGTCATCATACCATCTGTATACTACATTGAAAACTTTTTAACTTTTTTTCTGTTTTGAGATGAAGTCTTACTCTGTCACCCAGGCTGGAGTCCAGTGGTGTGATCTTGGCTCACTGCAGCCTCTGCCTCCTGGGTTCAAGCTATTCTCATGCCTCAGCCCCCCAGATAGCTGGGATTACAGGTGCATGCCACCATGCCCAGCTTTTTTTTTTTTAAGTAGAGATGGGGCTTTGCCATGTTGGCCAAGCTGGTCTTGAACTCCTGAACTCAGGTGATCTGCCCACCTCGGTCCTCTTGGGATTATAGACATGAGCCGCTGCGCCTGGCCAACACATTTGTAATTTTTATTTATTTATACCATTTTTACAATGTCTACTCATTTTTTCATACTATAAAAGAATAAATTTGAGCCTATAATTTTTAACTGCCTACATAGTTGGGTGGATGTGCCTTTATTTTTTTGTCTCCGATGTTCAACATTTAGATTCATTTCCGGTATGCTGTTAAATGGCATGATAAACTTGATTTAATTTGTCTTATGTTTTGTTGGATTTATTAGGTTGATAAATACCAGAATAAAAACTTTACTGTATTAGATAAAACAACTTTTTTATTCATATGATTAAGCCAGAGCACAGATGTCAATTTTAGGATTCCTCTTTTTTCCCCCTAACGTTAACTATTCTTGAGTATTGTTTGTTTTAAATTGTACAGTAGATTTACTATGTTGTTTTGTACAATGAATATCTTCTACACATTAGTTTTGTTACTAGTTGCTTAATTTCTTGAATATATTGGCATTGCTGATGTGCCATGAAAAGATAATTTAAAACAGTAGTATAGTCATGCTTTGCTCAATGACAGATGTGTTCTGAAAATGAATCATTAGGTGATTTTGTTGTTGTACGAGCATCAGACTGTGCTTACACAAACCTAAAAGTTATGGCCTACTATACATCTAGACTGTACAGGTTTGCACCCTAAAAGCAACAGGCTGTACCAGATGTAGTACAGCCTGTTGCTTTTAGGGTGCAAACCTGTACAGCATGTTACTATATTGAACACTGCAAGCAATTGGAACACAGTGGCAAAATTTGTCCACCAAAATACAAAAAAAAGGTACAGTAAAAGTACGGTATAAAAGATTTAAAAAGATAAACCTATATGGACACTTACCTTGAGTAGAGCTTGCAGGACTGGAAGTTGCTCTGTGTCAGTGAGTGAGTGAGTGAGTGGTGAGTGAACGTGAAGACCTAGGACATTATTGCACACCACTGTAGACTTGATAAACACTGTACACTCTGGCTGTACTGTTTAACTCTTGACTCTTATAATAACACTTAGCTTAAAACATTGCATACTGTGCAAAAATATTCTATGAGCTTTTTTCTTCTTTCAAAATTAATTATTTTTTTAACTTTTAAAACTTTTTTGTTAAAGAGGAAGACACATGTTAACCAAGGTTCACACAGGGCCAGGATTATCAATAGGACTGTCTTCCACCTCCCTATCTTGCCTCATTGGAAGGTTTTAGGGACAGTAAAACATGAATGGAGATGTCGTCTCCTGTGATGACAATGCCTTGTCCTGGAATGCCTCCTGAAGGACCTGTCTCGGTATTTGTTTTCCCCCTTGAGACTCTGACTCTGTCACCCAGGCTGGTCTCACTGCAACACTCGCCTCCCAGGCTTAAGCGATCCTGTGCCTCAGCGTCCCAGAGTGCGGGGATCACAGGTGCCCGCCACCATGCCCGGCTAATTTTTGTGTTTTTAGTAGAGACGGGTTGCACCATGTTGGCCAGGCTGGTCTTGAACTCCTGATCTGAGGTGATCCACCTACCTCAGCCTCCCAAAGTGCTGGGATTAATGGCATAAGCTACCAACCACACTCAGCCAAGAACAACTGTTTTAAGAGAAGTAGATTAAAAATCTTTTATATCTCTCCCAAATGTGCAATACTGGTAATACCTGTTGTTTGAATTTCTAAATATCTAGTTTATGTGCAGTTTTCAAATAGGCCTGATGGACCTAATGTAAACTATCATCTTTTGAAGCGGAGAAACTGGGAGAAAAACTAGGTCTTGTCAATCTTTGCTAATTAAAGCATTTCTTTTGTTATGCTGAAGTTCCTTTATTACAACAGAAACCAAATTGCTCTTTGTTGGGAGGTGGCTTTATGCTTTAAATAGAAAAACAACAACTAAAGTGAAATAAAGAGAAAGACAAACTTTACTCTGGTTGTAAATGTGGCTCTTAGCTTTTGTACTCTTCTGGTGGTGATCCTAAAGCATTATTTGAATAGTTTTGTCATCATGGCCACATGATGAATATCTGAGCTGTTAAGCCTGCAGTCTTCAGTTTAAAACTAGTCAGTTTGCAGTACTAAAGTGAGCAAATGATTTGTATGCAAAATAGGCACAATACACCGAACAATAAGGAAAGACAATCAGTCTTGCAGGAAAATATGGAAAGAATAACGAAGAGGAATCTCATACTAGAAATATAGTTAATATGTGAAAAACTGGTCAAGTTTACTGTAGTTGTAAAAATACAACCGGGAGGCCGAGGCGGGTGGATCACGAGATCAAGAGATCGAGACCATCCTGGTCAACGTGGTGAAACCCTGTCTCTACTGAAAATACAAAAAATGAGCTAGGCATAGTGGCACGTGCCTGTAATCCCAGCTACTCAGGAGGCTGAGGCAGGAGAATTGCCTGAACCCAGGAGGCGGAGGTTGCGGTGAGCCGAGATCGCACCATTGCACTCCAGCCTGGGTAACAAGAGCGAAACTCCGTCTCAAAAAAAAAAAAAAAAAATCGCTTTTAAGAGTTGATATTTCTATAAGCCTAGTACCTTGACCTGGAAGTATCAACAGTATGTTTCAATAGAGGAATGACTATACAATCCTAAGTTAATAAATCTGTTATTACTGTCCTAAGGCAGAATCAGTAACGATTTTCCTATATCCATTTCTTATTTCAGAGTGGGGCAGCACCAAAACAGGAGAGCAGGATGGTCTCATAGGCACAGCGTTAAACTGTGTGCTTCAGGTTCCAAAGTACCTACCTCAGGAGCAGAGATTTGATATCGAGTGCTGGTTAAGTTGAAATGACTTTTTCAGGAAGAGTATTGTATCTAGTAAGGTGTGCAAAATGTTCACCTTAGTTTGGGTTTAAGAACCAATCCTTTATTATTGTGTTTGTTTTCATGAATTTCCTAATGAACATACTTTTTTTTTTTTTGAGATGAATTCTCACTGTCACCCAGGCTGGAGTGTAGTAGCACCATCTTGGCTCACCGCAACCTCCGCCTCCTGGGTTCAGGCAATTCTCCTGCCTCAGCCTCCTGAGTAGCTGGGACTACAGGCGCACACTACTGTGCCCAGCTAATTTTTGTATTTTTAGTAGAGACGGGGTTTCACCTTGTTCACCAGGATGGTCTCGATCTCTTGACCTCCTGATCCACCCTCCTCGGCCTAGTAAAATCTTTGATAAATAAGCTGGCTTTTGAATTATTGAGAAAGTATTAGAAATGCTGTGAAAATGTCCAGCATTGTTGTTTGCCTTTGTCGATCACATGATTTCATGCTTATTCCTGCAGAATACGATGAAGATTTGTTACAAGGGTTATAGAACTATACAACCCCGCCCAAGACAGAATGGTCTTTGCTTGTGTAATTTTTGATAAAAAAGACGTGGAATAATTTGGTTTAATGAAAACATCTACATTCTGAGTTATTGGTAAAATACCCTTATATTTAACCTTAAGAAAATTACTTAAATAGGGTGGGCACGGTGCCTCATGCCTCTAATTTGGGAGTGCTTCAGGAGGCCGGGGGGTGCCGATCACCTGATGGCAGAAGTTCGAGACCAGCCTAGTCAACGTGGTGAAACCCTGTCTCTACTAAAAATACAAAGAAAATTAGCCTCTGTGGTGGCGGGTACATGTAGTCCCAGCTACTTGGGAGGCTGAGGCAAGAGAATCACTTGAACCGAGGAGGTGGAGGTGGCAGTGAGCCCAGATTGCACCACTGCACTCCAGCCTGGGCAATAAAAGCAAAACTGTCTCAAACAAAAAAAGAAAAGAAAATTAAACACCTAAAATTCACAGCTATAAAAATGGTTAACAGGGATTTTACTTTAAATGACTATCACAGTTTTCATCATCTAGATAAAATATTAATCTTGTAAATGTAATGGAATAAATGGTTGTAAACAGACTTGTCATCTGATTTGGTATCTAAGGTTATTAACAGGTATTAAGTAGCTGGGTAATTTCCAACATTTTTAAAATGTTCTTATCTTTGTCTAATTCAAAGCTTTTATAAAAGTTATTTATAAAATGAGGTAATAGGAACCAGGAAATAAGGGAAGAAAGTTAAAGATATAAAGAGGTATTTTTGATAAAGGTGAAAAAAAGCAATTTTATATAAGAAGAAATCTTGTGTGGTAAATTTTTTTTCCTAAAATAAAATGACCAAGTTGTTCAAGAAAGAGAATATTTAGGCAAGACAAAGTCTAAGCATGTTGTGAATCATCTATATAAATTGATATTAAGATTAGTTAATGGAAACTTCGTGGGGTTTTTTTTTTGTTTTTTTTAGAAAACAGGGTGGTATAATTTAGTTGGATATGAGTAAGAAGAAAATCCTAATAGTCTTTCCAGAGGTGGGTCTTTTATATTAACAAAATTACACAAATAAAAACTATAATTGGTTAAAACCAGACTTTATATAAAACATTTATTTACTTATAAGACAGTCTCTCTCACGCTGGACTGCACTGGTGCAATCCTGGTTCACTGCAACCTTTGCCTCCTGGGTTCCAGGAATTCCATCACAACTTTGCTTAAGTTTCTCTCCTTTCCCCAGCTCCCAGACTGTGCTCTGCCTTCAGTCCAAGCTAACATACAAACCCCGTTTATGCCCCTCCTAAGAACAGGCTGACTTCTGGCTGACACATTCCCTGAGCTTGAATCTGATTTTGCCATTCTCCACTCTTCCTCCCACCTTCCTTCTAATCTTGTTTGCTCCTCCATAAAAAATACAGCCCTTTTCTGCATTTTATGAGATGCTTGCAGATCTGATGCTTGGTGATTTCCCCATTGTAATACTCCTTTAGAATAAAGTCACGTCTTACCTACATCTGAATTTATTTGACAATATCTAGAAACAGCCCCAGGACAATAACAATTATTCCCTCACAGAGGACATCACAGCCCGCCTCCTATTCTCAACTCTGATCATGTCTCCCTGTGTATTCCCAGCTTTCCAGCGCCCTGTAGCTTCTCTCAGTATAAAGGCCCGGTCTATGGCTGCTGCGAGCAGGCTGGGACACCTGAAGGGGAGGACCCTCAGGAAGAAAAGACTGTGCTACTCATGAACTCCTTTGACATGTCTGAATACTAATACTGCAATTTGGGGGGAAAGAAAAAATATTTTTAATAAAAAAGTTATCTTTTAAAATCTAAAAAATTTAAATCGTTTTAAAAGCCTTACACAGGCCGGGTGCCCCTGTAATCCCAGCTACTTAAAATAAAACATTTAATTGAGGGAGGCTGAGGCAGGAGAATGGCTTGGACCCAGGAGGTGGAAATTGCATTGAGCTGAGATCACACCACTGCCCCCTAACCTGGCAACAGAGACTCATCTGAAAACAAAACAAAAAAAGCCTGACACCATTCACAGCTATCAGCCGACACACTAAGCAAGCATCTGTGAGTGGGCAGAAGGAGCCTTCGCTTTAAAGTGGTTTCTATAACTGTTTACATTAAAAGGAACAGAAGAGTGAAGACTGTGTTGTTGCCCTGACAAGGTCCCATTCTTTATTATAAAGGGCAATCTTAGTTGTCTTTGAGTTAACTTGAATCGAGGTATTTCTTCTTTTGAAAATACAAACTTCTCTAGTTATTTAGCAGGAGAGGTGGTATTTTCCTGTCTTTTTTGGTGAGGGGTTCAGATGTTACGTGACCCCTCATTTCTTCAGGAGAGGATGGCCTTAGCGCGCTGAAGACTAGTTATGTCATCAACGCTCACAGACCTGGTCATGCCAGTATAGAACACTTCGTCTTGTTCCATCCTTGATAAAGCCTAAGAATGTCAAATAGAAAAGAGGAACAATTTTAAAAAGGGTTCCATCCTTTTAACAATCACCACTGATGGGAAGCCACACATGCAGATCCTTTAGCTAGTTCAGCTACAGCTACTTTGGCTGAGGTTTACACGCCCCTCTTCTGGCAGCTTACTTAGGCCATCTCCTTTCAGGGCTAGAATTAGATTGCGGGAGCAAAGGGGAGCTTGCTTTATTAAGTTACTTAAAAATTGGGCTCCCCAGAATGTCACTATATTGTGACAGGCTTCTAACAGTATTATCTGTTACCTGTGCACTTGTGCCTTAAAAATAATGAAAGCACAGTTTTGCAAAAAGTTAGTTTATTAATCTATTCACATTCTACCCAATCTATAAGTTATTATATACTCACAGAAAATTGTAACCGGGCAGGCATGTACTGGATTGTATTGAAATGTCAACAAAGTCTAATGATTAAACATCAAAAGGCACTACTTTTATGCTTATGGTAGAAAATTGTATTATTTTAAAATACTTCCATGATGCCACAGAACATGCCTATTTTAAATGTTGATGCTTGTCAGCTGTGAGTAATTTTGCTGTGTACTTACCAAAAGTCACAAACCATAAATATTACTTTGTTCCATAAAAGTGATCATTTCCAGTAAAATCCCATGTACTTCCTGCAGCCAGTACTTGAGACACGCACGCCTCATACTGTCTAAGTGCATGTCTCTTGGCTTAGGCACTAATGGTTTCTCTAACACGCCCATGGGACTGACTGCACTGTGATATACACAGTAGAAAATGATAGAAATTTGCAAACCGAGTAACAAAAAGTAGTCAAGAGTGGCAAGTGCATTACATATGTAGACATCATTAGAAATACAATAGCAAGAAATCATTTCTGTATATTATTTGCAAGGGCAAAGGTTCAAAACGTTCAAATTCATTAAGAATAAATTTGATTAAAACATTCTGAATTATGGCCACAAAAGAGATAACATCTATAATTTTCCAAAAATGTGAATCCTTAGAAAAACCATGAGATACAGGAAATAGAATGCCAAAAGGTTAATAAGCTCTTCAGTATGTTAATTTTGAAGCTTTCCATTTTTCTAATCACTACTTCATATGACATAGTCATAAATGTTGGCACTGGTGTTTGACTCAAAACCCACTTAGTTACTTCATAGCCTTACCTGCAGATCCCATGCTCTTTTTCTGTCAAGAAGGTAAGTAGGCAAACTCAGGCCCTGCCTGACTATAAAGTCACGAAGACGGAAGTAGTATCTGGTATAAGCGCTTTTAGAAATGTTAGTATCATAATCAATTAGCCTCAAGAAGTACATTTCCAACATATTCCTGGGGAAGGAGAAACACAACAGAACAAACACAGGACCATGTTAGTTCACTGGGCTATCTTCAAAAACATTATTCTCACGTAAGAAATGTGGTAAGGCTATCATGTGCTCTAGTTTATTGGAATTCATGAAATAACGCACACTGAACAGAACCTGATCTAGTGAAGTAATACAAGAGTGCAACTTTCCCAATTCTCTTTGAAAACTCAGAAAAAAACTTGTACCCGAAATGAAACATGAATGTAAAAAATGTTAATAAACTTGATTTTCCCTATGTTCCTTTTCAAAGACATATTCACATTTAACATGGAGAAAGATGACATAAACTTAAGAAACATGGTAAAGGCTTCAGCCTTTTTACTTCTCTGAAAACATGAAAGGATTCAATGGGAAATTCCTTATAAATAGAAACGTGGTAAGGTCTTCAGTTGTTCCAGTTCCACAAGAAGATAAGAACTCCTTTCTGAAAAAAAACCTATGAATGTATAGAATGTAGAAATGCCTTCATTTACATGATATTTGCTCCAAGACCCATGATAATACACACTGGAGACAGACCTTATAAACATAAGAAAGCACACTGGATTGGAACCCTGGTAGATTACCAAATACAGAAGTTTACAGTTTTTCTTCAACATTGATGTGAAAACTTTCCCTAGAGGAAAATCCTACTCATGTTCATCAATTGAAAAGCCTGATGCAAATTCATTCTTGTATAATCTTAAAAAAGATACATAAGTAAATGTTACCCTACTTTTTTGTTTCTCAGTGATTCTTCATTTGAAAGTTTCTCTGTATTACTTCCACTTCTTTTGCAAGAAAACATTGAGGTTGCAATTTTGTAGATACTTTTTAAACAATACTATATGCATTAATAGCAGTTGTTTTCATTAAGTCAGTTAACAAAACACTTCTCAGTTCTTTAAAAATATCACACTGAGCTACTAGAATGGCTCCAAATTCTGTTTTGAAACACATGGAGGTGGGTTCCTACGCGAATGTCCCAACGGCACAGCTGCTTGCAGTGCATTCTGAATCCAGCACCCCAAGATTGGAATGAAGAGAAAGGCAACGGCCTCCTCTGTACTTGTGCAGCTGACTCGGGATCATTCTTGAGCGTTCTATTGCACAACTCAGACTTCCCAGTCACTTCCAAGACACCACAATAGTGATCAGATGACAGAAATGATGAATGCCATTTATTAACTGTCACTATTATGGAGCAGGAATACTCTTTACACTTCCAATGGTAGAAAGATCAGAGAGAGACATCTTGGCTAAACTAAACTCATTTTATGAGATGCCTTCTGGTAGGGTGCCAGCCTTACACACTGTTTCTCTTGAGTTGTTAGAAATGAAACCCCAAGGTGCTCAGCATCTGTCACCCCTGGCCACAACAGAATGTGGGGTTGAGTTGAATGCACTGAGAGGGGAACAGGCTCGAAGCAGCCCTCTGCAGCATGATTATTCACCTGTCCTGACCAAAGGTTGTTTTTGTTTTTCTGACAGGGTTACCCAGGCTAAAGTGCAGTGACATGATCCTAGCTCACAGCAGACTCAACCTCCCAGGCTCAAGTAACCCACACACCTAAGCCTTTCAAGGCTTGGAACTACAGGCTCGTGCCACTTAACTGGGCAATTTTTAAAAATTCCTTTTGTAGAAACAGGGTCTCACTTTTTGCCCAGGCTGGTGTTAAACTGTGATCAAGTGGATACTCCTACCTTGGCCTCACAAAGTGCTGGTATTACAGACATGAACCACTGTATCCAGCGCTTGGTCAAATGTTTAAATAAATACAAAACGACAGTAATCTTCCCACTCTCATAGTAATCCCTGTCAAGACTTAATTGTATAAAACAATACCTCAACAGCACACTTGGTTTCTTGCTTTTAATGTTGCAATGTTTTATCCACTGGCTAAGTCAACAAATGCTTGAAGTCCTCCGGTATGGAAAGCAGTTAGGATATAAGCAGACATGAGGTTTTCTCACTGGTTTCACTGAAAACCCAGCTGAAACTACTTCCAACATTAATTTCCTATTCAAATAACCACAAGGCTGTGATGGGAATGTCAGTCAGATATGAATAATCAGCTGACCAGGACTTAATTTACTATAGGAACATATGCACTTCATAATCTCTTTTGTGTATTTCCATAAACATATTTTAACTGTGTAAAATATGGTATTTCATAGAATGATCATGTTTACTAATAGTAGTTATTGAAGACAACAATTATCCCTACAGAATATGTATCTCCTTAGTTTTTTTTTTTTTTTTTTGAGACGGAGTTTCGCTCTTGTTGCCCAGGCTGGAGTGCAATGGCGCGATCTCGCCTCACCGTAACCTCTGCCTCCTGGGTTCAGGCAATTCTCCTGCCTCAGCCTCCTGAGTAGCTGGAATTATAGGCACGTGCCACCATGCCCAGCTAATTTTTTGTATTTTTAGTAGAGATGGGGTTTCACCATGTTGACCAGGATGGTCTTGATCTTTTGATCTCGTGATCCACCTGCATCGGCCTCCCAATGTGCTGGCATTACAGGCTTGAGACAGTGTGCCCGGCCTCAATATGTAATCTTTTATCCATCACCCCCATTCCAACCTTCCCCCTCTAGTCCCCAAAGGCCACTGTATCATTTTATGACTTTGGATTCTCATGGAGAATACATATTTCATTTTCCATTCCTGAGTTACTTCACTTGGAATAACGACCTCCAGCTCCAACCAGGTTGCTGTAAAGGCCATTATTTCATTGTTTTATGGCTCAGCATTATTCCATGGTATGTATATTCAACATTTTCTTTGCCGATTAATTGATGGGCATTGATGCTGGTTCCACATTTTTACAATTGTAAACTGTGCTGCTATAAACATGCATGTGCATTTGTCTTTTTCATGACTTCTTTTCCTTTGGGTAGATACCCAGTGTGAGATCGCTGGATAGATGGCAGTACTGTTTCCACAGTGCTTGTACTAGCTTACATTCCCATCAGCAGTGTAAGTGTTCCCTTTGACCAAATCTGTACCAGCATAGATGATTTTTTGATGTTTTAATTATGGCCCATTCTTGCAGGAGTAAGGTGATATTACATTGTGGTTTTAATTTGAAATTCCCTGATAATTAGTGATGTTTCTGAAGAAAAATACATCCTAACAAGACTAACAGATGTTGAAAAGTTTGAAGAACAACCTGATAGACACTAATTTTTAAAAGTTTCAATTTACAGTCAAAGAGAGACCTTTATAAACAATCAACAGTAGAGGGACAAGATAAATGTGCATTAAAGACTTTGGTGTAATGTTTTTCGATCTCCAAAGATCATGAGCATAGCTCCCGATGCTTCTGCGTTCACAAATGGCACTATGTAGAACTGGTCATCTTGGGGCTGGCCTCTGTCATCACTGTCTCTGGAGTGATGGACACCTGCACATTTCTCTGTGTACTCTCTGACCTTGGAACTAGAGCTAGAGCCCCACCAGATTAGCTGTAGGTCTTGAGATCAATTTAACTGCCACTATAGCGGAGCTAAGTGTTTCTCATTACAAATTTTGCTCCCTTCAAGAAACCAGTTTACAAGCTGGGCACAGTGGCTCACGCCTATAATCCCAGCACTTTGGGAGGCTAAGATGGGTGGATCATCTGAGACCAGGAGTTCAAGACCAGCGTGACCCATGGAGAAACAACATGGAGAAACCCGTGAAGAAAGAAATTAAATAATAACAGTAGCCTGTAATTGCTACATAATAAAAGTTTACTCGTTCTGTTCAATATAAAACCTAACCCCCAGCTCTGCTTGAAATTAACTAACTCCCTATCAAATCTACCTTATCTACTCTCCCTACTTTTTCAGCAAAGTTCCCAGGCATCTCAGGACTACCATTTTTCTTGCAGTCCAGCTGCAAGGTCACAGGGTAATATAACACCAAAGAATGTGCAATGTGTTTCTGAAAATGCGATTTTCAAACATAACATACATCACAAGACATGTCACAAGTTAACTGTTCCTTCTCTGGCTTCTGTAAACCTGTTAGTTGCTATGTCATCCTGGCTGTATAACAAATCAAGCCCTGTCTTTGTTAGGCTCTCAGCCTGGGGATGCAAATCTGCCGAGCTGGTGGCCACCTCAATAAAATCCTCCTGTTTCACCCATTGGTCTCTCCAGGCTCCTGAATATTATGTAACACCCCATCTCTACTAAAAATAGAAAATTAGCTGGGTGTGGTGGCACATGCCTGTAATCCCAGCTACTCAGTAGGCTGAGGCAGGAGAACTGCTTGAACCCAGAAGGCAAAGGTTTCAGTGAGCCAAGATCCCCCCCATTGCACATTGTTGCCTAGGCAGCAAAAGCAAAACTTCATCTCCCTCCCTTCCTCCTCCCTCTCTCTCTCTCTCTCTCTCACACACACACACACACACACACACACACACACACTCACACAAAGAAACCAGTTTACAAATTGATGACAGTAGTGATTAAGAACTTTAGCTTCTACAACTTTCAAATGACATTCATTTTCTGTTAAATCCTTTACTAAAATGGCTACTAGCAATATCACCATGACAACTCAGTTTATGCTATTGGCAAAGTGGTAACTCAGCAGCCACTTGAACAGCAACCAGCCATCACTAGTCTCTTCTTGGTTACAAGAAACCTCATTTCAATTGTAAATATACACTGTGTTAATTTTGAATGAAAGCCTTTAAAAATTTTTGGGGGTACATTGTAGGTGTACATATTTATGGGGTATATAAAATTATTTGATACAGGCCTATAATGTGTCATAATCATAGCAGGGTAAATGTAAAATTAATCGCACTTCAAGCATGTGTCCTTTTATTCTTATTTTTTTACAAATAATTCAATTATACTCTTTTAGTTACTCTAAAATGTACAATTAAATAATTCTTGACTGTTGTCACCCTGTTGTGCTGTCAAATACTAGATATTATTTATTCTTTCCAACCAAATGTCTGCACCTATTAACCATCACCCCTTACTCCTCTCATCCTCCATCCTACTTTACTAGCAGCTGCAAACAATTCTCCTACTCTATATCTTCATGAGTTAAATTGTTTTAATTTTTAGTTCCCACAAATCAGTGAGAATAGGTGAATTTTGTCTTTTTGTGTCTGGCTTAGTTCACTTAACATTTCCATCCATGTTGTTGCAGATAACAGGATCTCATTCTCCTTTGTGGTTGAAGAGTGCTCCATTGTGTATATGAACCATTTTCTTTAGCCACTCATCTGCTGATGAATGCTCAGAATGCTTCCAAATCGTGGCTCCTGTGAATAATGCTGCAACATACATGAGAGTGCAGGTATCTCTCTGACATACTGATTTCCCTTGTTTTGGGTTTATACACAGCAGTGAGATTCCTGGATTATATGGTGGCTCTATTTTTAGTTCTGAGGACCTCCACACTGTTCTCCATAGTGGCTGTATTTAAATTACATTCCCACTGACAGTGTACAAGGGTTACCTTTGCTCTATATCCTCACCAGCATTTGTTATTGCCTTCTTTTACAATAAGAGCCATTTTAAATATGGTGAGATGATCTCTCATTGTAATTTTGATTCACATTTCTCCGAACATCAATGATATTGATGTTGAATATCTTTTGATATACCTGTTTGACATTGGTGTGCCTTTAAGGAGTTTTCAAACACGTCTCACTTTGTCAATCAGGTTGGAGTGCAGTGGCAGAACCACAGCTCACTGCAGCCTTGACCTCCCAGGCTCAGGTTTCACACCTAAGTCTCCTAAACAGCTGAAACTACAGGCACATGCCACCAAGCCTGCCTAAAGTGTCCTCTTTTCAGAAATGTCTATTCAGGTATTTTGCCCATTTTAAAAATCAGAGTTTTTTTCTATGGATTTATTTGAGCTCCTTAAGTATTCTGGTAATCCCTTGTCAGATAGTTTTCAGATGCCTTCCCCCATTCTGTGGGTTGTCACTTCACTTTGTCCACTGTTTCCTTTGTTGCGCAGAAGCTTTTTAACTTGATGTGACCTAATTTGCCCATTTTTCCTGTGGTTGCCTGTGTTTATAAAACATGCAAGAAATATTTGCCCAGTCCAATATTGTGGAGAGTTTTCCAAATGTTTTATTTTAGTTTTGTATTTGAGGTCTTAGATTTAAATCTATTTTTAGTTTTCTAAAAGACAGAGATACTGCATTGCCCAGATAGTCTTGAACTCCTGAGCTCAAGCCATTCTCCCATCTTGGTCTCCCAAAATGCTGGGATTACAAATGTGAGCCACCCTGCCCAACTTAGATTTACATCTTTAATCCATTTTGATTTCATGTTTGTATAAGGTATGAAATAGAGGCCTGGTTTCATTCTTCTGCATGTGAATATCCAGTTTTCCCAGCACCCCTTACCGACAGACTGTCATTAACCCATTGCATGTGCTTGGCCCCTTCATAGAGAATGAGGTCACTGCAGATGTATGAATGGGTGTCTGGGTTTCTATTCTGTTTCACTGGGCTACGTGCCTGTTTTTAATCACAGTGCCATGCTGTTCTGGTTACTACAGGTGTAGAGGGTAACTTGAAATTAGATAATGTAATTCCCCCAGGTTTGTCTGTTTATGCTCAGGGTTGACTTTGAATATTCTGAGTCTTTTGTAGTTGCCTGTATGTTTTAGGATTCATTTTTACTTCTATTTCTGTGAAGAATGTCATTGGTTTTTGCAGAATTGTGGAGGTTCCACGTTGGTGGTCTGAGATCAGACCTGAAGGAATTCTCTAGATTAATGGACCCAGACTTGCTTCTTCACTTACTTTCCCACAAATGAAGTCTGTCTCTCTGTGCTAAGCTGCCTAAAGCTGGGAGAAACGTGATACAAGCACCCCTGTGGCCATGACCTCTGGGACAGCATTAGGTCTGTCCAGATGGCACTAGGAGTTGCAGTTCTTGTGACCTAAACAGTCCTTCAGGTTTATTAAAAACCCCAGACTATTTTATCCCATGGCAGCCAGGCTTTCATCACTCAAGTTCCAACCACGGGGATGAATAACTCCCCTATCGTTGGGGCTAGTCTAAATGTTTTTCCTTTGGGTGCATTCAGCTTTGTTTTGCTTTCTGCTATGACAAGGCAGCACTGAGTTCAGGGAAAGTCCTGCAGCTGCTGTGCTCTCCCTTCCCCAAGCGTGTAGCCTCTCTCCTTGCCACAGGTTCACAGTGGTGGCATCAACAATTCAAGACAGTCTTTTCTACGCTGTTCAGTCACGTCATATGAACATTTAAATAATTTTCAGTTCTTATGGAGGTGCTTTTTAATTTAGATAGTTGCTAAAGTTGTTATTCCTGTGGGGAGCACAATTGGCAGAGACTTCTATTTGTGACTGCATACATCCTGAATCACAGTCTTATCTGGAGTAATAGGCAAACGTAAAAACAAAGAAACAAACCGAAAAACTAAAACCTCTTGCCACAGCCTGAGGATCTTCATACGCTTCATATGCTTCTATGTCATCAAGAGGTGTTCCTTCAGATTTTCCTAAGTGTCACCCACAAAGCCATTCTCGCTGACTAGCGGACACTGTGAGAGCCTGTGCTGGAAATGCCTCCCTGGCGCACCCTACCAACCAGCTCCAAGACCCTTCCCTTTACAGCAGTCATGAGGCCAGACTGAAAGAAAGACCCATGAAGCTCCTGTTTCAGTGTCATGTTGCCGTCTGTGAGCAACCCTCATGATTTAGAAAGATTTTTTGCATTCTCACAGATAACTTGGGGCCCTCCAAGTGCTGCTGTGGTTGCATTAATGCCCTGGGAACCTCCTGAGTATGGTGAGCATTGGGTGATGCCCCAGCAATGTTTCTCAGACTGCCTGAGGGAACACTAGAACTTCTAACTCATCAGCCCAATGATGCAATGCTCCTAATCAGGAAAGGACAGGGTCACAGGGAACTGTGGCTATTCCGTATCTCAAGGTTTCTATAAAACAGATCTTTAGAGAAAAGTGGGAGAACACCGGCAAATGCAAATACACAATGTATGGCTAAGGGTGAAGCTATACTTCACAATGCAGAGGCCCCAGACCTGTCAATGGGCAAACAATTATTTCAAAGACCAGATGTGCACTCCTCACAAAGAGACTAGAACTTGCAGACAGCTTGTAAAAGCCGTAAGAAAATTGACTGTACTATTATGTTTCTCACTGTACACTGGTAAGGTATTTGCCAAAAACATTCACCAGAAAAATACTTATCCATTTACGAGATTATTACAATGGCAATTTACCAAGACCTACCAATGAATAGTAAAAAATATGAACTATTCTTCTAAAACTGGGGAGAAAGAAAGAGTGGTGTTTATGCCCATTCTTATTATCTGCATAATGTAAACTTTAAAAGTATTTCTCAAAGTGTTGAAGTTTATGGGAGCAAACAAAGTATCCAAAAATGGTTAGAAAGTTCACAAAAACCATACAAACTTACAGATCGTCAACTGTAGTTTTCTCAAAGCGCATGCACAAGTCCTTGTTGCACACAGGTACATTGCTCCCAACCTTGATGACAACAAGAAAGGCTCCGAGGATAATCCTCCTCCAGGTGGTTGGACGAATGTACATAGGAGCACACCGTAGAAGTCTTCGGATGTACATCTGCAAAACAGAACACTGGCCTTTGATTTAACTCAGTTTAAGTGCTGTGATAAGAACTCTTATGAAAAAGCAGAATACTTCTGGTTTTGACCAGAAAGATGCCTTTTATTCTTATGTTCTACAAAGACTTTGTTTCATCAGGTTAAGTAAGGGGCCATATCACAATCATAGCCCAAATATTTCTGCTACCTACTCTGCCCACCAGGGTAGATTAACACATCCAAGGAACAATGAACCAAGGGCACAAGCTCTCAATCACAACATACATGAGAATTGCCTGGGGATACACCCTGGGACTCAGCTTAGACCTACAATGGCACGCATTCCTGCCCATGAACCAGATGGTCTTGTTACTGCTCTTCATTCCAAGCCCTCCACATGCCCTGGATGTGAGCACACTGCATGTGCATTTGTGCACTGAAATGTCAGGGGAGAAATCAGAAATCCCTCCTGCTGCCTTTAATGGCAACTGTTCTGTAATCATAAACCCAAGGCAACATTTAAGCCATAATGATGATTCAACTCTAATGTGTGTATTTCCTGTCGTAAGTTTCTCTTAAAATTCTGAGATAATTTCAGAAACCTACTTTCACTTAAAATCAGAAACATACTACCCTGTTTACAAGATCAATTTCTTTTCTTTTTTTTTTTTTTTGGAAATAGAGTCCTGCTCTGTTGCCTAGGCTGAAGTACACTGGCTTAATCTCGGATCACTGCACTCTGCCTCCTGAGTTCAAGCAATTCTGCCTTAGTCTCCCAAGTGGCTGGGACTACAGGGGCATGCAACCATGAGTGGCTAATTTTTGTATTTTTGGGTGAGACAGAGTTTAACCTCGTTGGCCAGGCCAATTGGTCTTTACAAGACCAAGTTCTAAAGATGCTTTATAAATAGGAAATATCTTACCCTACTTTTGATGGCATCAACAACGTTTAGAATTTTTACATAAAACAGGGAACGTATAAATTCATAAATCATTGTCTGTGAAGGATCACACATAATGTATTTTTCCATTTCGTCCTGAAAGAAGAAAGGATGCAATGTAAGTATCCATTGAAGAGAAAACCAGAAGTGCTCTTAAGACAGCAGTGTTCACATTTGTGCCCATGTACCATTTACAATGATTTTGATGGGTGAGACGTCTTTCAGTTTTCACAATATGAACAGTGGGATCTTAAAATACCATAGTAATACTCATCAACATTCACTTAAAAATCATATGAGCTACAGGGCAGAAAATTTTTGTTCTTTTTTACTCTTTGCCCCACATAATTCTATCCAAATGTAAGCTACCCTTAAGCTTTAATGCCTTACTGATGGCATGTCATTCTCTGCAATAAACTTTGAGAAAATAAAGTTTCCTGTAACCATGAGGCTCTAAGCCTATGCTGTTAAATACAATAGTCACTAGCCACATGTGGCTATTATGTACTTGAGGAAGTGCATTTTAAAATTTTTATAACATGTAGGTTGATATAAATTTAAATTATTTTTAACTTCATAAATGTCATGCTTCTGTGTTAAAAGTATTTACATATACTCATATTGCTTGATGCTACTAATAACTGTCTTTTAAAAGATACATTTTGTTATTTTGATAGATTTACTCATACTAGTTCACTCACTAAACAGAGCTGCAGATCAGTTCCTATTCTAACACATTCTTTTTACAACACCTAAGAGGACTAAATGCAACACGAAATGGGGAAAATTTAAAGACAGCTTTGACATCAGCATGAAAGAAATACAAGTCTATGATAAAAATACAACCTCAATAAAAGTGCCACTTACATCCAATGGGTATACACGTTCATCAAATATTTTGAAAGATATATTTCCGTCTCTATAAAATAAGAATGTGCATTACTTCAGAAACTGTTAATATCTTAGCATAATACCTATTCAGTATAACAATGCCTCCTATGTGCTTTGGTGTTTACTTCACCAAAGCAAACCATTTTTACAAATTCTTCTCCTGGATCCCGCCCTGCAGAATGTTTCCTGACCTCTTCCTCAGCACATCATATCCTGCACTGTGAAGTCTTTTCCACAATAACCAGTCAGAACTGACTATAGGTATCAACCCTCCCTAACAGGCAATGGCAATAGACCAAACATATTTTCTCTCTTAACCACACACTGAAACACAAGAATGTTTTACAAAGCAGTAGTCGTGGGCAATAAAGTCTTTAGGACTTTCATAAATGTAAACGTGATTCCGATTTCCTAGCCTCCTTTCTTTTTAGTCCTCTGTAGTATACTTTCATGATGAATTTATTTTCTGTTGTTTAGATTAAAAACTCATCTGCCCTTTTATTTTAAAAGAGGCTAGTCTTTGATTAACTTTAAACTTTGTAAAACTAATGCATTGTGCCTGTGTGATAAACCAGTGGTTCTCCAAATGTACTCTGTGGACCTCTGGGGATCCTGAAGACCCTTTCTGAGAAGTCCTAAGAGGTCAACACTTTTTTTTTCTTTGCTTTTTGTTTGTTTTTGTTTTTCTGAGATGGAGTTTCACTCTTGTTGCCCAGGCTGAAGTGCAATGGTGGGATCTTGGCTCACTGTGACCTCCGTCTCCCAGGTTCAGGTTATTCTCCTGCCTCAGCCTCCTGAGTAGCTGGGATTACGGTGCCTACCACCACGTTCAGCCAACTTTTGTATTTTTAGTAGAAATGGGGTTTCACCATGCTGGCAAGGCTGGTCTTGAACTCCTGACCACAGGTGATCCATCTGCTTGGCCTCTCAAAGTGCCAAGATTATAGGCCTAAACCACCGTGTCTGCTGGACACTGTTCTGATAATCATACTAATTCAACCTCAGAAAGTTGATACAATTTTTTTTAATTAAGAAAGTAATACAAAGACACTGACTACTTTTTCATAAACACCCGCCACAACTGTATAAAAGCAAAAGTGGATAAAACTGCTGGTTTCTCAGCCTAAATCAAGGCAGTGGTACCAATTACATTGATGGTAATTCTGTTCTTTATTGTCCCTTACAGTTAAAAAGCAGTCTAAAGTACTTAAGAATGTCTTTGTTGAGGTGGTAAAAATTAATGGTGTTACTAAATCTTGACATGTCTCTTCAATATTCTGAATCAGTAGAAAGCTAAGAAGAAGCGCTTCTGCTGACTGCAGTATGGTTGTGTTTAAGAAAAATTCATGATTTAATTGTGAGCGGATCACTTTTTTCACAGATCATCATTTTTATTTAAAAGTACCACTGTGCCAGTGCAATGGTTCACACCTCTAAAATCCAAACCCTTTGGGAGACCAAAGCAGGCAGATGGCTTGAGCTCCTTCAAAAGTTTGATAGTAGCCTGGAAAGCATGGTAAAACTGTCTCTACCAAAAATATGCAAAAATTAGCCAGATGCGGTGCCACACCTCTGTGGTCCCAGCTACACAGGAGTCTGAGGTGAGAGAATTGCTTGAGCTGAGATCATGCCAATGTACTACAGCCACGTGACAAAGTGAGACTCAGTCTAAAAAAAAGGACAACTACCATTATCAAAAATAAATGAATATGTGTTCCCAATGATAAATTAAGCTTTCCTGAGGACTTTGAAAATCTCGCTCCTTCTACTGTAGGCTTGACAGCTTTTCAACACTTAAAGACTTTTAAAATAATATTGGTGGTTAAAAGTGATTTTTGACACAATAAAACATAAACCAATATATTCCAAATAACTAACACATGATAGTATAAATGCAAGTATGGAGGAAAAGATCCATTTACCATGCAAGACAGATTAGTGAGAACTGATTTTTAAAAGTAGCACTTGCCAAGTTTTCACTTATTATTAAATACCCACAGTGGTCTCAAAGCTTTAAAAATGCACCTTTTACCAACTACATATTTGCATGAGATTAAGTCATGTCATTGCTTCCCTTTTTTGACTACCGGCATGCACTATCATGCCCAGCTGTTTTTGTATTTGTAGTAGAGATGGGTTTCACCATAGTGGTCAGGCTGGTCTCAACCTTCTGACCTCAGATAAATCTGCCTGCCTTGTCCTCCCCAAAGTGCTGAAATTGCAGGTGCCTCCCACCACACCTGGCCATCTTGTTGCTTCTTAAAGCAAATTGCAAAGAAAGACCTAGAGAATCCGGCTGTCTTCTATTAAGTGTGACATTCGGGGTTTTCAATAATATAAATACATGACATACTTTTTACTCTACTTTTTGTTGTAGAAAATCTATTTTCTCATTTAAAAATCTATGTTAACAATATTTTTCTCAAGAAGCATTTTCTGTTGTCACAACCTGGGTCATGGGTTACTACTGACATCTACTTGGTATAGGCCACCAGTGCCGCTAAACTTTCTGCAATGCACAGGGCAGTCCTTGTGACAAAGCGTTATCAAGATCAAGATATTAACAGTAGTAAGGCTGTAAAATCTAAACTAAAAATAGATTTTGAAAAAAATCTCAATTTTATAGTTCTATGACAGTAAATATCAATATCATCAATATAAATACATACTCTTTGAGATTCCCAATCATTTAAGAATTAAAAGTGTTACGGACCAAAGAAAACACAAATAATTTGCTTGGATATTTTAGTAGGCCCGATACAGCTCTCGATGTCCAGAGCTGTGACCTAAAGGGCTTCATAGCTTGCAAAGTAATTAGTCAGAATAACAAGACAGTTTTTTAAAAAGCTCACCTTTCCTTGATAAGAAAATAGAAGTCCAAGGCGACACTGTGGAAGGAAAAACATTCAATATAACAATAGATATTATCAATTGTTAGGTCTGAAGACATTTTTTTTACAAGGGTGTGGTGGAAACTCTCCTAGAGGCCCTGAAATTAAAACCTTGTAGTTCAAAACAGAACCATAAGGGCACTTTGTTTTCATTTCTTGGGTTTTAGCAAAAATATGAGAATAAAAATGCAAGGCAATACAATACCCTGTTAGAAAACATGTTTCTGTTGATGATTATAATTTATAAATAATAACGTATTTCCCTGTTATATGTTCTTCTACTCACAAAACCTTTCATCACATGCAATTTATTTTATGTATTTATTTATTGTGTGACCCAGAGTCTTGCTCTGTTGCCCAGAGCAACCTTGGCTCACCACAAACTCCACCTGCCGAGTTCAAGCAATTCTCATGCCTCAGCCTCCCAAGTAGCTGAGACTACAGCTTGGTGCCATTATGCCCGGCTAATTTTTGTATTTTTAGTAGGGATGGGGTTTTGCCATGATGGTCAGGTTGATCTCAAACTCCTGGCCTCAAGTGATCTGCCTGCCTCAGCCAAGTTCTGGGATTACAGCTTGAGCCACCACACCCTGACTCATGCAATTTATATCTATGGCTTTTGCATAATTATTAGAAAATATATCAGTAAACATAAGCTCACATGACATCAATGATAGGTACAGCAATCCTAAAATAAGCAGTGCTAACAAGGTAGTGTAGCATGATACAGTGTAATATCAATGGCAGGTATCTTCAGTTAGTTTAACTGAAATATTTGTGAACACACACAACTCTTCAGATATATGTAACTGTATTCCTAAGTTACCCACTGATGCTGTGTTTCAGAAAACAAGAGGTTCTCTTACATAAGTTATGTGCTTCCATTTTCCCTCAGCATCTACAATGAGGTTCAAAATAACTGAGGGAAGGCAAATCTCAATTTTAATAATAGGTCAATAAAATATCAGCACTTTTTAAAAAGCCTGTAACATTAGCACTTCAGAGGGATACGTCTATGGTGCGTTAAGTAGTTTTCATCTCTGAAAAAATTTTAAAATCACAGAATTTGAAGTTATATGCTGGAAAGAACCAATGACCTTACAAGACATTTAATCCAACACTCATTTTACAGGTCAGGGGAACAAATCTTAAAACTGACTTGCCCAAGGTCCCAACAAATAGGAGCAGTTTCTTGCCCTAAACTCAAATTAGGCAGTGGCTCTACATTTTGCTGCACATTAAAATCACCTGAGAAGCTTTAATAACTGCCTCATTTTCAATAATTAGCATTGGATATAACTTTGGCCATCAGGGTTGTTGGTAAAAGTTTCCCAGGTGATTTCAATGTGCAGCAAAATTTGAAATGATTGAGTTGGGATGAAAATCAGAACCTTCTGGGATGCTTTTCTTCACATAAAGATGCTATGTTTTCCTAAAAGACTTCTCAGTGCCTGGAGAAAGAGGGAAAGTGGAGATTGGAGGATACATGTATTTGCAGACATGTATTTTGAAGACAAACTTTGCAAAAGTGATCCCAATGAGTTCCACCTATCCCACTGATAACAGTGCACTACTAACTTGTGATGAACATTTTTCAAAATCTTTTCCTGAAGCCAATTTGCCCTATTAATTTGCTCAATAAATCTCTATTTCACCAAAAGTGAATACACCTAATAATCATTTCTCAAACTTGCTGATGGCAAATTAAAACTTAATTTACTTTTGAAAGTAGACTTCTAAAAATTAAAGAATGAGGAAAAAAGCATGAAATTTGTTTGAACAAGACTATCTTCAAAGCTACTTTGGCATGCTATGCTAACACATAAAAATCGCTTGCATTCAAAAGCAGCCAGGGACTTCAGCCAAAGTAGTTTGTTTTTATGCTCAAAGATTTAAGAGAGACAGCTGGGTGTGGTGGCTCAGGCCTGTAATCCCAGCACTTTTGGAAGCAGAGGTGGGCAGATCACCTGAGATTGAGAGTTCAAGACCATCCTAACACGGAGAAAGCTCAACTCTCCAAAAAAAAAAAAAAATCAGCTGGGTGTGGTGGTGCATGATTGTAATCTTAGCTCCTTGGGAGGCTGAGGCAGAATTGCTTGAACCTGGGAGGTGGAGGTTGTGGTGAGTCAAAACGGTGCCATTGAACTCCAGTCTGGGCAATAAGACAAGAGGAAAATTCTGTCTCAAAAAAAAAAAAAGAAAAAGAAAAGAAGAAAAAGAAAAAAGAGTGAAGAAACTTGGCTGACTACAGACATTTAGTGATTACTCAATAGGTCCCAAAGCTCAGCACCTAAGACATAATTTGATTCCAATTTGTACTGAAACACAATTTCATCTCAACTATTGTTATAAGGGAGGAAGGAAAGTGACATTATTATGAGTGTAAACCTGTCATTTTTAATTAAAGTAAAAGTTACTGAAAATTGAATTTGCTAAAAAGGCTAGTGCATTCAAAACAAAATTATTTATAAGATAGTTATATTTCTAGAATGAAAAGGAAACAAATGTAAGGACATTAATATTCTAAATTAGCACTTTGCAAACTGTGCTCTAAAAATCAACACTCATAACCAAGGAGATTATAATAATGTATCATGGACAGCCCCTGTGGTAGTGGTGTTGGTGGTTGTTCCATTTAAAAAATAAACTTCAACTAAGAGTGCTCTCAAAGTGCATCTTTGTGGCCCATGAGGTGCTCATGCACGATGGGAGAAATTCAAATGCAGATACACTGTGGTGCCAGAGGAAAAAAAGCTGTTCCTTCTTCTAAGACTAACGTCCAAAGTAGTACACATTGACTGAGGCCTGCATCGCATTGAAAAACTAATTTTTCACAAAAAACAATCAATAAAGACAACCTATACTTCTCGCTGCATTCAATATTCTTGTAAGGCATAAATGCATCAAATAAATAGCAACACTTTTTCTGAAATTGCTTATTTGCTAAGAGATTTTTCCTTCCACCATGATGTAGAAGATGAAAAGAGGAATTGATACTTAATATTTAGAATCTGGTATCAACGTATAGTTGACTCCAATTTCTTAAACTGATTGAAGAGGACAATCAAATGGCTGAAATAATTTTAATCTGTCCCTTGGCAGTATAGTTGTACTCACTAGTGTAGTGTCATTTCAAAATCAGGGCAGCTGGCTGTGCTGTCTTCAAGGAAAATTGTCGAGCATGAACTGAATTTCAAAGAAAAACAATCCATATATATCTACAGAGGAAGGAAAGGATAAGGTAATCAAAGTGTGTTTCTTTTCTCGCAGTTAAAATGTCCAATGACAAAGCATTAAGATATTTCTTACACTCCATGAACTGCCTGAGTGTGATATCATGTGCACTGTATAGAAAAACCAGTGGAGGCTCTTAACTTCCAGAGGTGATATTGAGATATGGGTTAGAAAATGCTGCTCTTAATATGCTACCTGTCATCAAACCTAACAAGGATTTTATGAATTCTCTTTATAGACAATGACAAGAGTTTAAAATGCAATTTCATCGTTTTTTCTACCATGATATAAAGCAGCTGAGAATTTCTATTAATTTATTACAACAAAATGTATTGTATTAAATAATACTGGTGTAAGAGAAATTTATTGCAATGAATACAAGACTAATGTATTTACAAACTTACTAATCCTACATGTATTATTTCAGGCAATACGGTGACAAAACAGGTGTTTCCCATTCAGAGGTGCTGTGTGCCAGGGTTGCTAGGCCACCACCAAGTGAGGGAGCCATAGGTTTCTCTAGTCCTCTTTTCTTATGTGGATGATAAAAAGATTATCACTTAAATATTCTCTCACACCCTGAAAACAGATAACAACTTAAAAAATTTAACTTTCATTTCATGTTTAAATAAGACTGCCATGACATGACTCAAATGAAACTCTCAGAGAATACTTGCCATTCATTTCAAAAGTTGATTGATTTCATTCTATAAATCATCTGACCTGCACCTAGGCATTTTCCTGCTATACCCTTGCTCTCTGCCTAGAAGACTGTTTTTCTCTCTCCTTGTTTCAGGAAGCTTGATTCCATCTACCTTCTTGGATCTTTCTGCCAGCAGCCACACACACAAAAAGTTTTGTTTTTGTTTTTTTATACACTAATTAATTTCACCACTGGTTACAAGATACTAATTCTTGCCAAGTATTTCCCTCATGAAAAAGTATGCCTCTCCATAAGAATAAGGGAGGGCTCTTACTCTACCTCCAGCTGCTGAGCACAGAATTTTGAGTAAATCAAAAACTTCAACAAGTATTTAATAAATTAATTCAGTTATAATTTGGAAAATAAGTCTTACTAAACTTAATTACACCAAAAACACTCCTAATGGTTTACTGTTTATAGGTATTATTTAAGGTAGTCAACAAAAAAGAAACAAATCTAACTGCAGTCAGCATGAATAAAGAGTGTGAAATTTTATGATCTTTAACAAGAAGTGGAAGGTGTTACATAGTAGGTTAACAACACAAATTAGAAAATAATTACACCTAGTAATTTAGTAAGTCAAAACCAAAGGCTTACCATCAAAGGTCCATGTAGAGGTCTTTCACTTCCTTGGTTAAGTCTATTCCTAAGTACTTTATTTTATTTTTGCAACTATTATAAAAAAGGCTGCGTTCTTGGTTCAATTATCAGCGTTCGCAGTTAGGGTATAACAGAGTTACCGATTTGTGTATGCTAATTTTGTCTCCTGAAACCTTGCTAAATTCATTTATGAGTTTCTTGGAGCTTTCTGGGAAACTGGGGATTTCTAAGTATAAAATCATATCAGCAGCAAACAGTGACAGTTTGACTTCCTATTTACTGATCTGGATGCCCTTTATTTATTTCTTTCTCTTGTGTGATTGCTCTGGCAAGGTCTTTCAGTACTATGCTGAATAAAAGTGATGAGACTGGGGCATCCTTGTTCCAGTTCTCAAAGGGAATGCTTTTAACTTTTCCCTCTTCAGAATTATGTTGGCTGTGGGTTTGTCATAGATGGCTTTTATTACATTGGGGTATGACCTTTGTATGCCAATTTTGCTGAGGGTTTTCATCATTAAAAAATGCTGGATTTTTGTCAAATGCTTTTTTTGTGTCTATTGAGATGATCATGTGATTTTTGTTACAAATTCTGTTTATGTGGTGTATCACATTTATTGACCTGTGTTATGTTCAACTATCCCTGGATCCCTGGTATGAAACCCAGTTCATCACGGTGATCTTTTTAATATGCTGTTAAGGACAAAACATTGCTCAATGAAATGATGGACACAAACAAAAGGAAAGACATCTCCTGCTCATGAATGGATAGTATGAATATTGTAAAAATAAGCATATTGCCAAAAGCAATCTACAAATTCAATCAAATTCCCATCAAAATACCATCATCCTTCTTCATAAAAGTAGAAAAAAGTAATACTAAAGGTGATATGGGACCAAACAAGACTCCACATAGCAAAATCAAAATGAAGCAAAAACAACAAATCTGGAGGCATCAATCACATTCCCTAATTTCAAACTATATTATAAAGCCGTAGTTACCAAAACAGCATGCAACTGGTATAAACACAGGCACATACACCAATGGAACAGAAGAAAGAACCCAGAAATAAACCCAAAAATTTATAGCCAAATGATCTTCAACAAAACCAACTCAAATATAAAGTGAAGAAAGCAAACCCTATTCAAATTGTGCTGGGATAATTGGCAAGCCATATGCAGGAGAATGAAACTGGATCCTCAACTATCATCATACACAAAAATCAACTCAAGATGAATTAAGCACATAAATCTATGCCTGAAACCATAAAAATTCCAGAAGAAAAACTTGTAAAAACCCTTCTAGACACTGGCTTAGGCAAAGACTTCATGACCAAGAACGCAAAAGCAAATGCAACAAAAACAAACAGGTAAGACTTAACTGAAGAGCTTCTGCACAGGGAAAGAAACGATCGGCAGAGTAAACAGACAACCCACAGAGTGGGAGAAAGTCTTCACACTCTTATATATCTGACAAAGGGCTATTATCCAGAATCTACAAGGAACTCAAACAAATTACAATTTACAAATTTCAATTACAGAAATACGCAACCATCAGTCAACGAGGGGATAAAAAAATGTGATATACGTGCATATATCTCATATACATATTATATATATGATGGAATACCACTCAGTTACAATAAGGAATAAATTAATGGCATTCCCAGGAACCTCAATGAAATTGGAGATTATTATTCTAAGTGAAGTAACTCAGGCATGGACAACTAAACATTGTATATTCTGATTCATACATGGGAGCTAAGCTACGAAGATGCAAAGGCATAAGAATGATACAACGGAGTCTGGAAACTCAGGGGAAAGTGTGGGAAAAGGGTGAGAAATAAAAGACTACAAATCAGGTTTAGTGGATACTGATCAGGTAATGGGTGCACCAAAATCTCACATATCATCACTAAAGAACTTACTCATGTAACCAAATACCACCTGTTCCCCCCAAAACCGACTGAAATATAAAATAAACTATAGCAATCTTCTCAGCAAACATAAATAAAATAAAATAAAAACTAAAGTTTACGTTTTTCTCTCTCCTTTTTGGCAGGACAAATTTTAGGCATGTCTTTAAACTATTAATAACTTTTTTCCTTTTTCTGAGACAAGGTCTGACTTTGTCACCCAGGCTGAAGGGCAATGGTGCAATGATGGTTAATGCAACCTCAAACTCCTGAGTTCAAGCAATCTTCTGCCTCAGCTGCCTGAGTAGGTAAAACTAAAGGCATATGCCACTATGCCTGGCTAATTTGTTAGTTCACCATTTTGTAGAGATGAGGTCTTGCTTTGTTGACCAGGCTAAAAATAAACATTTCTTAATTAACTTAAATATTTGTAAAACTGTGAGCATTCATGAAAAGAGCTCCATCTATGTTATGAAATAATAAGATAATATAACAGTGTACAAAGTTTGAATGAAAATAACAAACAAGGCCTTAGAAGACAACTGTAACAAGCTTATTATAGATACATCACTAAAAAATTGTCTGGGTTAATATCATTAATGATATTAATGAAATTAAACTTTGATTTATGCTTTAATATAGGTCCTAAATTTGGATTAAATATAATAGATTCATCACAAACTTATTTCCTCTCCCTCTAGACATCTCTTTTGTCACAAAATAAAGGTGAAACACAGTGCCAGGAGAGAAAGTTGAAAAGAGACGATTTTTAATAAATGCTGAGACATAAAAAGTAGATTAAAAAGTGGTAAATAACAGAGAAGCACAACTATGATGCCTAAAGAAAGTGACTGGAGGCCGGGAAAGGAGGTTCACACCTATAATCCTACCACTTTGGGAGGCCATGGAATTCAAGACCAGCCAGACCTACATGGTGAAACCCCATCTCTACTAAAAATACAAAAATCAGCTGGCTGTGATGGCAGTTGCCTGCAATACCAGCTACTCAGGAGGCTGAGCAGAGAATTGCTTGAACCAAGGAGGCGAAGATTGCAGTGAGCTGAGATGTCACCACTGCACTCCAGCCCAGGTGAAAAACCAAGACTCTGTCTCAAAAAAAAAAAGAAAGTGACTGCAACAGAAGCGAGCAGTCTGTCTTGTAGAACTAAAGGTGGGCTGTGAACTTAGAGGCAAACAGCACTTTAAAAAGTAGTGCAAAATGTAAAACAAAGCCACCAAGGTCAGTTGAAAATCTGTGGTTAGAGACTCACATCCACCTGTTCTCCCATCTGATAAGAAACTTAGATGTGTGCTCCCTGGATATACCAAACCTGAGAATTTCTGGGTCCCAACTACCAAAGATTAAACCTGAGATATAAAGAAAACTATACACCAAAAATGGAACTCCAACTTGCTTCCCTAACTCTGCTTTTGGAAAGTAAGTAGTCAGGCAGAAACTTAAAAAAACATTCCCAAGAAACTAAACTGTCTTGAATAAAGATCCCCAGGTAATACACTGAGGTCTCCCAAATGAAAAGTTAGTTGCTTCCACAACCTCACACTGAGTGCCATCAGTTAACAGAAGTCCTGCTTCCAAATCAAGTAAGCAAGCCAGAAACCACCACACATTGGAGTAAAGCCTCCAACAAGAGAGACTGAAACAACACACAGAATTCATGGGACCAGTCAAAATCAGGAGCAAAACTTTAAAAAATGTTAAAACTCTCCAAAAATATATATATAAAAAATTGAAGGGAAAAAATTGGAAATGAAAGCAGGTCTACTGGTCTAAGCAGTGTAGCGCCTCAGTAACATGACTATCAGAAGAAAGGAACAGAGAAAATAAAAAACATTCTCAAAAAGAGACTCTGCAGACTTAGTAGCCTCAGTAAAATGAAAAGATCCCCCGCCACGCTGTTATTATGAAATTTCAGAATCTGAGATAGAAAAGCTCCAAAAAAGCTTCCAAAAACACATAAAAACGTGGTTATAAATAACGTGTCACACAATGGCAATAGATTCAAGAAAACAGGGTGATAAGAGCACAATTGCAGAATATCTTCAGAACCATAAAATTTAGATTCAACCTAGAAGTTTACTCTCTATCAAGGAAGAAGAATTTTAAGACTGGTCAGATCTCTAAACATCTCTGCCCAGGAACGTGTGCTTAAGTACAACTAGAGAGGATAACAAGACAGAAAAAAACACAGAATCTAGGATTCACGTGATCCCACACAAGAAGGCAGTTATGTGAGATTCCCAAAAGACTTTAAAAAGATAGCACAGATAGACTAAAACATCAAGTATATCTAGGTAAAGCCACTCTATACTAAACTAGGATGACAAAAGGCCAAAGAAAGGTTGCCCACCACCCGCCAAAAACAAAGAGGAACAGATATGTTTTAGCAGATGGAAAATATCTTTGAAAGGCATGTGATAAATGCTACAACACTTGAGTGTGTGTGAGGGGAATCAGCTGTTAGAAAACAGGCAAATGAATATAGTCAGAAAATCAGCTTCATGCTAAAAAATAATGGATGTAAAATGTAAATTATATGTAAAATATAATTTAACAATTATTATTTTTCAATAAAGTGACAGACCATCCAGAGGCTACGTATTGCATTTGGCTTGATAAACCAGCATAGGTCAGGAAAAAAAGATCCAGAAGAAGTGCAGAAGTGCTCAGATTTCAGAACTGTTTCAGAGAAAGGATGAAGGAATATGTAATGAAGAGACACAGTGAAAACATATAACTCAGCAGTGAATAATATTTGGATAGTCATAATCATGTCAATATTACTGATTGAATTAAAAAGTGTGCTACAATTGAAAGCAACAGAGAGAGAAAAATAAGGTCATGGTTAGCAAAGAAGATAAACTTTCACCTGCTGTGACAGAGGCTCAATACACCATACTGACAATTAACTTAGCTCTTTTTGTTGTTTCATTAAAAATAAGATTAAATATTTAAAGCAGATTTGTATACCACAACCAAGTATTGAAATTTAAGTTAAGTGTTAAAAATCCTTAAAAGGTGGGTACACTAAGCTGAAGACTTTTTGGGATAAATTTGATAGGAATGTAGAAGAGATTCAGAAAATCCATGAAACGAGGTCCACTCTATCACCACTGGGTCCCCATTATAATAAAAAGTAATCAAAACAGACATACTTTTACATCAAACTATCAATTCCTCAACATTTTGACTGTTTACTTACATGGTTTCTACGGCTGTTTTCTCCTATTTCTTGTGCTAAGAATAAAAGAAAAAAAAGGTCACTTCTGACACAAATAATATAAAATAAAAGTAGTTGTGAAAGTCTTACTGACTACTCCTATGTACAATCAGAGAAAATTCCATTAAAAAAATTAATTTCAACAATTTATCATTTAAATTTTCTGGCATGATAAATCTCATAAAGTAAAATACAAAAACTCAGATTTATGTTTTGACCTGGTTTACTTTCTGTTTTGTTACATACGAGTGAAATAATGCTCATGTAAAAAAAGGCACAAAAATTAGGCCAGATAAAAAATTTAGCTAACTAATAAATTTAATTGTTGCATATATGAGCCATGATCCATTAGTATTCTCCCATTCTGGATTTACATATAGCTTAATTACCAGAATCTAAGAGCTAAAAGCTCTAAGAACTACTTGCTGGCCAGGCACCTATCTCTAGATGCATCAGAATCCCTGTAAGCCTCTCCAACCACAATTAGTGGTCATCTACTAATATGTCGCTACAAAAACAAACAAACGAACAGACAAAAACGGGGTCTTTACACAACTGAAAAGTAACCGATCTTAAATTTAATCTTTTGTTTGTTTGTTCTTTTTTTTTTGATATAAAGAAGTCTCCCTCTGTCACCCAGGCTAGAGTAAAATGGTATGACCTTGGCTTACTGAAACCTCTGCCTTCAGGGTACAAACGATTTTCCTGCCTCAGCCTCTGAGTAACTGGGATTAGGGCGCACAATACCATGCCCAGCCAGTTTTTGTTTTAGTAGAAACAAGGTTTCAGCATTTTTGTCAGGCTGGTATCGAACTCCTGGCCACATGATCCATCCACCTCCACCTGCCAAAGTGCTGGGATTACAGGCATGAGCCACCACACCCTGCCAAATTTAAATGTTAAAAAAAGTAAACAAATTTGGATATGGTGTCTGCACAAAAAAAAAAAAAAAAAAAAAAAAGGCAGAATAGTAAGAGCTTCAAGAGAGATTTGGGCCTTGCTTTGGTTCTTATACTGCCTCCACCTTTAATACTGGAAGGGCCTTGTAGGCAAACATTCCCATCACTGAAGTGTGAGGGACATGGAATAGCTTTTCTTTTTTCTGCTTTCATGCTCTCCACGTGTGATAAGCCCATGTCTCTGGAAGTAAGTGGAAAATACACCTCTGATATGGTTTGGATATGTCTCCCTCTCCAAATCTCATGTTAAAATGGGACCCTTAATGCTGAGGACAAGGCCTAGTGAGAAGTGTTTGGATAACAGTGGAGCATTCCTAATAAATGGCTTGGTGCCATTCCCATGGTAAAAAGCAAATTCTCATTTTGGTATTAAACCAAAATGAGTTTTTCTTTTTCCTTGTTTATTTAAACAAAATGTTTTATTGAGAGAGAGAGACAGAGAGACAGAGTGAGAGAGAAACAGAGAAGAGAGAAAGCTTCCACGAGAGAGTGTGTGGAAGTAAGACCCCAGAGGGAAAATCCAGGAGAAAAGACCTCCGACTATGTTGGATAATATGAGTTTTTCTAAAAAGTTTTTATAATACATCTGATCAAACAAGATTTTTCACTCTTTGTCTTAGCAGAAAAAACAATGTTGTCTCACTACCTGTTTGGGATTTCCTTGTTTCAGACTCCAAAGCCCTATCTGTAAAGAAAAAAAAAAATACATAATAACTTATAATAATTTATCACCTCATTTATTCAAAAAGGAAGCCACCTCACTACCTCTACTTTTATTCTTATCCATTGGGAAAAGGGACATAAAATTAAAATTAAAGATATATCCAAGACTCCTCCACTACATGAAAAATTTTGTTGATAACAAGATGGAAAAATCAATGAACAAAAAGTTCACGTTTTCACTAACATGGTAACAAGCAAAGTATATCACATGTTAAAAAAACACAAGTGATTATGTGAAAAATTTAAAAAATTTAAACCAATATGAGTTCTGCAAAACACCTTCTATTATACACCTCATCAAACTAGATTTTCACTCTTTTTCTTGGCAGAAAAAAACAATGTTGTCTCACCATCTGCTGGAGATTTCTTTCCTTCTGGATCATCAGAAGGGTCAAACTCAAAAGCTCTATCTATACATACACAAAAAGAAAGGAAAAAGTATGTAATCACTTATAACAATTTATCAACTCACTTATTCGACAAGAAAGCCATTTCTACACTTACTTTTATTCTTATCCATTGGGAAAAGGGACAAAGAATTAAACATAAAGATAAATCTAAGACTCCTCTACTATATGACAAATTGTTTTGATAAAAAGATGGGAAAATCTATGAACAACAAGTTGACAGGGTTTCACTAACATAACAAGTAAAGTATATCATGTTAAAATAACACAAGTGAATATGTGAAAATTTTAAAAATTTAAACCAATATGAGTTCTGCTAAACACTTATTATACACCTCATCAAACAAGAGTTTCCACTCTTCTTATTGGTAGAAAAAAACAATGTTGTCTCACCATCTGCTGGAGATTTCTTTCCTTCTGGATCATCAGAAGGGTCGGACTCCAAAGCTCTATCTATACATGTACGGAGAGAAAGGAAAAAGTATGTAATCACTTATAACAATTTATCAACTCACTTATTCGACAAGGAAGCCATTTCTACACCCATTTTTATTCTTATCCATTGGGAAAAGGGACAAAGAATTATACATAAAGATAAACCTAAGACTCCTCCACTACATGACAAATTTTGTTGATAAAAAGATGGGGAAACCTATGAACAATAAGTTGACATGGTTTCACTAACATAACAAGTAACGTATATCACGTTAAAATAACACAAGTGAATATGTGAAAATTTTATAAATTTAAACCAATATGAGTTCTGCTAAACACCTTCTATTATACACCTCCTCAAACAAGAGTTTTCACTCTTCTTGGTAGAAAAAAACAATGTTGTCTCACCATCTGCTGGAGATTTCTTTCCTTCTAGATCATCAGAAGGGTCGGACTCGAAAGCTCTATCTATACATATGCGGAGAGAAAGGAAAAAGTATGTAATCACTGATAACCATTTATCAACTCACGTATTCGACAAGGAAGCCATTTCTACACCTACTTTTATTCTTATCCACTGGGAAAAGGGACAAAGAATTAAACATAAAGATAAATCTAAGACTCCTCCAATACATGAAACTGTGTTGATAAAAAGATGGGAAAATCTATGAACAATAAGTAGACATGGTTTCACTAACATAACAAGTAAAGTATATCACGTTAAAGTAACAGAAGTGATTATGTGAAAAATTTTAAAAATTTTAACCAATATGAGTTCTGCTAAACACCTTCTATTATACACCTCATCAAACAAGAGTTTTCACTCTTCTTGGTAGAAAAAAACAATGCTGTCTCACCATCTGCTGGAGATTTCTTTCCTTCTGGATCATCAGAAGGGT